CAGGGTCACACAGCCGGTGAGATCTGGACTCAGCACAGGTGGATTCGTTCAAAGGTCGCTGACCCCCAGTGGGACTGGGGGTGCTGAATCAGGGTGCTGAGGGGCCACAGAACTGGGAAGGAGAGTGGTGGTGGTATTGAGGTCACCCTAGAAGCCCAGGATCCAGCCCAAGCCAGGAGCTGGAGGCCAGAGCACCGACCACACCCCCTCCCCAGCCTGGGCCCCCAGGGCTTGTGACCTAGCACCCCACAGGTGGGACTCACTGCACCTCCCTGCATGGGACCAGGGGTTCCACGCGTCCCTCCGGCTGCTGCGGTGCAGGGTGCAGACACTTAAGGGTGCAGACGGCTGCTCTGGACGGTGCAGGGCGGGAAGCCAAGCCGGCAGCCTGCCTCCCCCCCTCCCACCGCTCACACCGGTGTGCAGCGCCCCCTGCCGTCCGTCCAGATGGAGCCCCCACGAGGACAGTGCCTGCTCTAGCCCAGGTGGTCCTTCCTCCCCTCGAGGCGCCCCCGCCCTCCCCCCTCCACCACCAGGATGCACTGCACGCCTTTGCCAGGTGGCCCTCTTGGGGCTAGGGGCAGTAGGTAACCAAAAATCAGTGTCCCGGTCCAAACACCTTGACATCTGTCCCCACATAGGCTAAGGCAGAAAGTTTCTTAAAACTTGGACCACGCTACATAGTTTATAACCTACATTTTTTGTTCAGCAAAACATTTGATCATCCCTATTTGCTGATGTGCATCTTACTACGTTCCTGTAAAAGTATGAACAGATGGGATTTTTTATTGTTGTTTTTATTTGAAAATAAACATCTATTTTGTCTATATCATTCTAAAATTGCAACACTAACTCGTCTTTCTGGGTAAGACACTTTAGGGTTTTCCCAGGAAGAGTGGGAGGCCTCCAGTAGGACATATGTAGACAGGAAAATTTGTTGGTGAAGAGAATCGAATTCTTGAGAAATCTCATGTTTGGCTATTAGCCAAGACTCCTTGGCTTTAATTATAAGACTTTTATTCGACGTCCGTCTTCTACGTCGTTACGTTACTGGGTTTTTCCAACAGTGTGGAGACGAGACTGGAATTTGTAGATCGAGAAACTGGGCTCTGAGAGGTGCCAGAAGTTCTATTCCGGATCCTTAGAAATGGTAGAAACACACGTTCCGAGGTGAGAGCGGGGATCCCCCCGGGACTCAGTGGGGCCCTGGCAGGGCGGGGGGCTTGGGGCCGCTGGGACAGACGCAAGGGACACCAGACTCAGCTGCGTCCACACAGCACGAGCGAGTCGAGTCGAGGTTTGGCGTCTCCCCTCAGCTCACGCGTCAGGACAAACCACGGTTTGCTTCTCCTTTCCGACTTCGACTTTGTTGTGCTTTACCCGCGAGCTCCAGTGAGGTCTAATTTACACGCAGTGGAGCCGAGGAATGTTAAGCGGTCAGTGGCGATCGGCGTGTTCGCCGTGTGACCACGACGGCGATCGCGATCCGGGAGCAGGTGCTGGAGAAGTGGACGCGGGTAGTTACGACGCAGCCTCCGTCCCAGGCACAGGCCCGGGGGAAGCACGTTCGCACACGGACTGCTGCACGCGTGTCCGTGGCCGAGCACTGCCGCCCCGCAGCGTCTGTGCCCCTGTGCAGTCGGTCACTCCCTCCTCCCCCCTCAGGTGACAGTCACCGCGTTGCCTTTTGTCACTACAGCCGCCGCCTTGAGCTCCGTGTACGCGGAACCAGTGTCGTCCTGTGTGATCCGCAGGAATCTTTCGATGGTCCGCATCACCGCAGCTACCGCCACTTCCCTTGGTGTCGACGGGCGTCCCGTGACATGAGCGCGCTGGTCCGTCCCCCCGACCGTGGCGGGCGTTTGGACTGTTCCTCGTTTCCGGTCGCGAACAGAAGGGCTGTGAACATTTGAGGACGAGACTTTGTGGAGACGCGTGTTTTCCTTTCTCTCGGATGTAAAGCCCAAGAGGCCTTGCTGAGTCATACGGCGTGTTCGCTTTTAACGTCATAAAAACCTTTCCCAGTGGGGCTCTCCCGTTTCGCCCCCCCACAGGTGATGGAGGATCGAGGTGCTCCAGCCCCTGCCGGCGTACCTGCGACCAGCCGCCGGTCCCCACGGTGTCGAGGTGTCTCGTGCTGGGGTGACGTGCGACCAGCCGCCGGTCCCACGGTGTCGAGGTGTCTCGTGCTGGGGTGACGTGTGATACCTGGGCCGTTAGCCGTGTTTCTGCGTGTTTGCCGTCCGTTTGTCTTCACTGAAACATCTAACCTAAGTTCTGTCTTGTTTCTTAGTTCGTTTTTCTTACTGAATGTTAAGGATACGATTCCTTTATCTGATGTATAGTTTGTGAATATTTTCTCCCAGTCTTTGAGACATGTCTGCCTCGTTTCCGATTTTAGTGAAGGAATTCGTCTTTCACCACGGAGTGTAATGTGGCATTTGTATAACTGTCCTTTATCAAGTTGAGGCAGTTTCTTTTTATTCCTACTTCGCTGGGAGTTTTTATCATGGATGGATGTTGAATTATGTCAGATGCTCTTCTGACTCTATTGAGATGTACTTGTGATTTCTCGTTTTGAGCTTTTAAAGATGGTGAATTATGTCACTTGGTCTTGATTATTTTTTTTATTTATTATTATTTACACCTACAGCACCTGGTCTTCCTAGGTGGTCTCCTATCCAAGTACTAACCAGGTCCGACCCCGCTTAGCTTCCGGGATCAGACATCGGGCTTGTTCAGGGTGGCGTGGCCGCAGACCGTGGACCGTGGCTCCACTGGGGCGCGAACCCAGGGCCTTCTGCGTGTAAAGCAGACGTGCTCACCGCTACACTGTGGAACCACGTCCTGGTCTTGAATGTTTAACCAACCTCACATTCTCGGGATGACTGCCACCTGGTCGTAAGGTATTATCCTTTTTACGTATTGCTGGATTTGATTTGGTCTGTTTTTTGTGTGTGTTGCTGTATCTTGTCGGGTTTTGGTAGCAAGGTGATGTCGGTCTCATAAAATGAGATAAGAAACGTTCATTCTTATGTGTTTGGAAAACTTCATCATGAATTCTTTATGTCAGGTTTGCGTCATGTGAAGAATTTATATCTGAATTTCTTTGTTATAAACAAGGCCACTCGGGTTCTGTTTCTCTCGGAATGAGCTTCAGGTGTTCGCGTCTTTCAGATTTTTCCATTCAGTCTAAGTCGTCAGATTTGTTGGCATCAAATTAAAAATATTCCCTCGTCATCATTTGCAACAGCTGTAGGCTCCGTGGTGACTCCGCACACAGTGACATGCGCAGGTATCGGTGTGCAGATCTGTGGGGTTTGACGTGGTGTACACTCACCTGAGTAACAAGTAGTTGGGCCTCCCCCCCATGCATGTCTGTAAATGTGTCTCCTAAGACACTGTCATCGGGCTTAGGGCCCACTCTAATCCAGGATGATCTCGTGATCTTTAACTTAATTACATCTGTAAAGATCCTTTTTCTGAATAAATTCACATTCTCAGGTTTCCGGGGTTAGGACGGGGCCACTGTCCAGCCCTCTGCAGCAGCTGTCACATGTCTACTTGCTCTTCCTTAATGTCCCCACAGGAGCCTGGCCCAGTGAGCAGCCCGGGATCGACTGTCCTCAGCCTCTCCTGGGCCCGGCAGTGGGGCACCGTTCTCAGTTTCTAAACCAGCCCTGCAGGAAAGAAGTGTCTCTGGGTCACGTGGGTTGGGTCACGTGGCCAGGGCCCCAGGCTACCTCCGTTTCAAGGCACAGAAAGCCAGAGCTTCCCAGAGTCCTGTGCGCCCCCAAGGTCACACTGCCACTGCAGCGTGTCCCAGAGAAACCAGCTCTCGAGTGTCCCTGAGCGCTGCCTCAGCCCCTGGGGACCCCCTGGCGTCACCCCGAGGCGGCGGGGGCCAGGGGCGACTCCGCCTGGCCCTTCATCTCACTAAGGAATCTCCTGGAAATGGACGAAAGCCATGCGCTTTTAATTCCAAGGTCACGGTCACACCCAGTCTCGGGTGTCATTTGAGATCAGCTGGTGTGTTCACACCTTCCGAGAACACATCAGAAGACGTTGCCATGTGATCCTCGCAGCTCCCCCCACCTCAGCACCCCCCACCGCTGTCGTGGGGGGGCAGACCTTTCAGCAGTGGGCGGGGCCATGCCCCCCGCCCCCGTCCCCCGCTGCCCGGGAACGAGCTTTCTCATTGTCTCAAACAGGCTGCAGAGCTGAAATTACACCAAAGCAGACTGGCCTCTCGGTCAAGGTAAACTTTCTTTTGTGCCAGTTTAAGTCAGGTCCCTAAGGCCGAGGCAGGGAGGGCACCATCGCCCCGCTCATGCAGCCAGCCTGCGGGGCCGTACCGTGACATTGCTCACCGTGGGGCCTCCTCAGTGCAGCGGGGACACTGGAGGCACACGGGCGCCCTGTCCGCGTCAGCAGACCCCACTGACAGAGGAGAGGGCCCGTTCACACACGCAGACCCTGCACCCGGCTGCGGCCCCTTCAGGCCCGTTGACCACCGTTCACTCCTTTTGCTTTTATGTAAATGACCGTGGCCTAAAAGCCCCTGCCTTTCTGCACCAGCTGCACTTTTCAGTGAAATCGCTGCCAAGGAAAGGCTTGGAAGTTATCACCCAGAGTAAAGGAGCAAAAAGTCTGTCTACGGCCACGTCACCCTGAACGAGCCCGATCCCGCCTGATCTCGGAAGCTCAGCGGGGTCGGGCCTGGTTAGTCCTTGGATGGGAGACCACCTAGGAAGACCAGGTGCTGCAGGCATAAAAAAATAAAAAAATAAGGGATCGTAAGAGGACAAGGTCCTTGCAATCTGTGAGGTCAACCAAGGGTGACCTTGTCTTAAAAAACAAAAACAAAAAAAAACAAAAGTCTGCATTAAAATCACTTGATGGCTGGTTAGGATGAATTGAGAGCAAATCCAAGTGGTCCTGTAATCTAAAAATCTCCTGCCAGCTAATGTTGGATAAAGTAAGGACATTGCACACTGGTGTTTAGTAAACAACAGTTTATTATCGACAAGGTGAAAATACCTGGTTACATGTGGCATTAAATAATTTCTGACAGACTTTTACTGGAATTTTTCATGTGTTTACAAAAGCAGAACTCAACCTTCTGCCCTTCGCTGCTGGCCAAGCCATCCTTCTAGAAGTTGGGAACACACCCTCTCGGTAAGCAGACTTGGGGGGACTGGGCTGCCTGGCTGTTCCCTGCGCCCCTAAACATCGGTCAGTGGTCTGACCTTTCTAAATGGATCCTGTAGATCAAGTCAGAGGCCCGCAGACGCTTCCGACACAGAGCCCTGTTCTGGAGGCCCGAGCAGCACCCCGATGAGTGTGGCCTGGTGCAGACACTGTCCAGGTCCCGAAAGCCCAGGGCCAAGGGCTCGGCAGCCCCTGTGACTGGACTCGTGCTGGGCCCACAGGGGACGGGCCCCGGGCCCACACGCGAGCAGCAAGCAGATGCTCCCTCCGTGCCCAGCGACCGTGGCGAAAGGCTCCTTGCTGGACGTTTAGGGAGTGAAACCTCAATACTATAGTAAGAATGTGCAAAGTGTCTTTTTTGCAAACACTTATTTATAGCTAATAAGATCACTTTTTGTTAAATTATAAAGCACCATCTGCAGATACATACACAGCACACACGAGAGGCCAGCGGAATGAAATGTACATCGGTATCTAGTGAGAGGTGATCACGTGGCAGCAACTTCACTGGGGGACGGTTACACAGGCCAGTGCAGAGGGGACCTTTTGGTCTGATCTTTGGTAGAAAAAAGTCTCTCTAGGTTTCTTCGTTAAAAAAATTCTGCATTAGTTAAAAAGAAAAAACAGCTTGCCTCAGCTGCCCCAGACCCTCCTGTCCAGGCAGCCTTGTTACAGTGTGGTCCCCTCCCTGGGTAGGCCTCAGTCACCTGCCCTGATGGGGAACAGCAAGGGCAGGTTCAAAAAGGTCACTTAAAAAATACCCGTTCTCGTAAGCTTTGCTGGAAACAGGAAATCAACATAAGGCTGTAGGGCTATAAACCTGGTGTTTAGTACGTGTCTGCTGAATGAATGAATGAATGAATGAATGAAGTAGAGGAAAGGCAGCATGAGACGTGAAGTCTGCAGGTCAGGTATGATTTTGCTTAACTGCTTCCAGCTGACTCCAGTGCTGGCCCAGGTTGTGGATTCTGAAACTTTCTAGATTAATTTACAGTGTAACTTCACAGAGGTTATCACAAAGGTGATTCACTCACCTGCCTGAGACGCACCCCAGTCCCCCACGCTGTTGGTACAGTTTAATCAGGAAAGTCCAGGAGAGACAAAGCCTGCCCGCCAGCCCCGCCGCCCGGCCGTCTGGAGCCTGCCTGCGCTGGGAGAGCCCCGGGCAGCGGGCTCGCCGGCCTCGCTCAGAGCACGGCCCCGATCGCCACCGACCGAGTTTACTCGACTTTCCAGATGGCGATCTTTCCTTCCTCCCGGCCGGACCCGCTCAGCACGTATCTGTCCTCGGCGGAGCACAGGGTCTTCACGGTGTCGCTGTGGGCCACCAGCTCCTTCTCCACCGTCCTCCGCTCAGCATCGATCACGTAGATTTTCCCTTTGGATTTTCCCTGCGACAGCCCAGTGCCGCCCACCCAGATCTGCCGAGAGAGACGGGGGCACTGGCACACACGGGTCTGCCCGGGAGAGGAGACCGCTCGTGTGCGTGGTGGTGCCCCCCACCCCCGCCGTGTTCCAGGTGGCAGGATTCGCCCCCAAACCACACACGCCTGCCCCAGTTTGCGGGGCTGCCCCGGGCTGCAGGCCCTGCTCACCTGCTTCTTCACCCTGATCATGCAGCTGACCTCGGAGCAGTCCTGCAGGCGCAGCCGCTGAGGGGGCCGGGCCAGGTTCCCCAGGCCCCAGATGAAGACGTCGTCATATCCCGCACACGCCGCCCACAGCTGCCCCTGCTGAGACAGAAGTCACGAGGTGGGGGGCGGCAGACACGCCGCAGGTGCCTTGGGAGGACCCGGGAGCGTGTGGGGGGCGGCAGACACGTCGCGGGCGCCTTGGGAGGACCCAGGAGCATGTAGGGGTGGCAGACACGTCGCGGGCGCCTTGGGAGGACCCAGGAGCATGTGGGGGGCGGCAGACACGTCGCGGGCGCCTCGGGAGGACCCGGGAGCGTGTGGGGGGTGGCAGACACGTCGCGGGCGCCTCGGGAGGACCCAGGAGCATGTGGGGGTGGCAGCCCCGGGCCACAGGCATCCTGGGTACCTCGGGGAGGAGCTGGAAGCCCAGGAAGGCGGTGCTTCTCTCCTGGAAGGTCTCGTCTAGCTTCAGCTCTTGGCAGAGCACACCACTCGTTGTCACAACCACAATGCTGGCACCTGTGCCTGCGGAGGGCCAGAGCTAGGGTGAGGGGCAGGCCAAGTAAGCGCAGAGCCAAAGGACACAAGAACTGGGCAAGCGGTCGTGTGGCGGGGGACACTGGTCCCACAGGCTCAGGCCGCCCCCGGCGTGTGGGGCCAGCTCCAGTCCGGGTGAGGCACCTCCACAGTACTGCCCACAGGGACATCGTGAGCAGTAGCCATTTCACCGGTGGGGAAACCGCTGGCACCCAGCGCCCTCGCTGAGGGTCTGCGAAACGTGGCGACGACGCAGCCCCTTTCGGGGTCTCCCTGCCAGGGGTTCTACATCTGGATGCTCGCACGTGCAGCCGTCCGCGGCTGCAGAGCGAAGGGTCACGGGGCCGGCCTCCGTCCACGCTCGTTACCCGCTCACAGAAAGTGTGTTCTGCACACTGAGTGTGCACATCGTGCGTGCTGCAGGTCACGGGAACCGGCCGCGCTGGGGGGTAAGTCGGGCGTGTGGGGGGCGGAGTGGGGGTGGCTGCAGGACCGTCCTCTGTGCATTTTATTGCACGTACCCTGCCCCCGCGTGAAGCCACTGTGCCAGCGTCGTGGCCACAGGAAGACAGCCTTGTGCTTGGGGCGTGCCATCGGCTGTAGAGGGAACACCAGCCTGGGAAGTGAGGCGCCCCCCACACCGCGTGCTGCTCCAGCTTCCCGTTCAGTGAGTCAGCTCAGGGCCCCCCAGCACTCGGCCTTGACAGAGAAGTGACCCCTCTGCCCTTGGCTGCCCTGAGGATGTGGCAGCTCAGCTGGGTTTTTGGTCACAGAAGGCCAGAGCCGGCCACCAGCCCTCCCCTCACCTCCTAGGCCCGGCCAGATGCGGGGTCTCCTGAGCATCCTCCAGGAGCCTCCGTCCAGGCCGTCAGCCACCTGGACCAACTAGTAAGGCCCCGTCAGGTGCCGCTACCCCGGACACCCACAGGGTCCCCTGGCCCGACAGCCCCTCCTTGGTGCTGGCCTGCGCTGCACCACAGGACCTGCTGGCAAGGGCGCCGGACACTCGCGCCGTGACTCTGCCTGTGCGAACACATGAGGGTGTGACAGGCGTGGGCAGGACTGACCACTGTCCCCTGCTGTCCCCTACGTGTGCCCGGCACACATGGGGAGGGTTCCGGGGGCCCCCGCCTGCCAGCCAGGAGGCAGAGATGGGTCTGGGAGGCTTGGTCCGGAGGCGGCTCCGTGGGGACAGCCCTCCCTGCCGCCCTGCTGCTGTCCCCTCCCTCTGAGCCAGCTCAGCGTACTGGGGGCCGCGCCAGCCCGTCAGGGCCCCTCCTGGGGTGACTGTCCCTGGCCTCTCACGCCTCCCAGTCCCTGAGCTCACGTGGGGGCGGGGGGGTGGCATTTCACTTCCCAGGTGACACACGGACACAGAGCTGACGGACCTGCCACAGGGACCCACTGTCCGGGACCGAGCCTGGGTTTGACCCTGAATGCACACGAAGACTGAACTCAGGGGTGCCAGCCGCCTCTCAGACGCAGGCCTCTGACCGCAGGTACTCAAGCAACATCTGTTTGAATGGCACGAGGTTCACCTCACAGTTGTAAAAAACACTGCATTTGACAGCAGCCGCACGAGGGGCAGAAGGAGGCGAACGGAATTCACGTCACCCTGTGAGCGCCGAGGGCAGAAACAGCCCTCAGAGCAGCCGCCACCACGCCACACAGAAAAAGAGCTAAAAGGCCAACAAAGAAAACTAAACAGAAAAGATACTCGGTCCGAAAGGAGAGGCAGACAGACGAGAGCAGGCGAAGCGGGGCCACGGCCGAGCGCGGCCACGGCGGCGGCAGCCAGAGCTCGCGGTGACGGGCAGGGACCCCAAAGAGTCAGGGCGATGTGCCAACAGCCAGTGGACACGGAGAACACGCTCAGCGTTCTTCGCCATCAGGGACATGCGGTCACACCACAAGGAGCCGCCACCTCATGCGCACTCGGGCGGTGACGACGAGAACCAGGTTCTGGTGAGGCTGCGGGGCCGGGGAGCGTGAAATGCCGCAGCTCTGGAGGACAGCGAGCTTCCCAGGTGGTCAGCGTGGCCCACCACGTCTGCCCGCAGGAGAAGTGGCCACCAGGCCGTGGTCTCGGACACGCTCCTGGGGCTCGGAGCGTCACAGACGGATTCGAAACACTGCGCTGACTGAACGGGGCCGGCAGAAAGGACACCCGCGTGGGGCCTGTTTATAGAACGTTCCGGAACAGGCAGCGCAGGCCCCCGTGACAGAAGTCAGCAGTGTTCCCTTTGGGTAGATGACAGTGCCCTGCATCTTCACTGCTGGGTGACGATGGGGCGTGTGCTTGTCAGACCACAGCAAACTGGACATGTTTCGTGCCTTCTGCCCTGCGTAAAGTATGCTTCAATTGAACAACGTGGTGGCACCTGTTGCTGTGTGTCTAGCGCCCGCCAGGGGAGGACAGAGAGCCTCTGTGTCCTCGAGGCTCAGAAATGCAGAACAACAGGCAGCGTCTGGACCTCCCGTCACACTCCTGGCGAAGCCGCCCACTGAGTGGGCCGGCCACCAGCAGAGGTGACAGCAGCCAGCGGGGGCGGGCACGCAGCCCGGGCCTGGCGGGCTCGCCCTCGCTGCTCGCCAGTGCCAGCGCGACCTCCTGGGGGCGTCGAGGCTGCGTTCGCACTGCGAGCAGCAGGCGTCCCGTTCGCTGTGGGACCCCAGGGGAGGTGTGGGGAGCCTGGGGGAGCAGTGGGCTCAGGAGGGGCCAGAGCTTTAAAAGACAGCGAATTTTTACACTGGAGACGCGTAAAGCAGAGGCAGCCCGTCCTGTTCTCTCTCCCTGGAAAAGGGGGCTGGCTCCCATTTTGACGACAGGGGACTTACAGCACCACAGGCGTCCGCCGTGCAGTCTGAGGGACGAGAGCCCTCCACTCGGCAGCTGGAACCGGCGGGTCACCCGCAGCGTGCTCACGTCCCATGCCAGCACGGTCCCGTCCACGCTGCAGGAGTACACCTGGCTGGAGGTAGAAACAGTTTATTGGGTCCTTGAAAACACTGTGTACATTTTAACTCAAAAACGAACAAAGTTGCCATTAAAGCTTCTGCGACAGTATCAATGTAGCAAGAATAAGTTTTAAGTGGAAACACATCCGCTGCAGCGGGAAAGGCAGGTCTGTCTCTCGTCGCCGTCGGCTGCCCTGCACACGTTAGCTAGAATCTAACCTCCTCGCGGGGCCGGACGGGGTACACGCGCGCCCCAAGCTCAGGCTGAATAACCAGCACAGGTGTCGCGTTGGTGACTGGCAGCTGCAGGGTGGACTTAGACCTGTGCAGTGCACTGCCCCTTACCTTCTGACGGTTACCTCTGTGTGTCCACCTGGACTGGGCCTGAGGACAGATGGCCCCTCTGAAACCAAGCTAGGGAGCCAGGGGGAGGGTGGCGCAGAGGAGAGCAGCAGAAAAGCTTCAGTTGTGGCCACCTGCACCAAGCACGCCTCATACACTCGCTGAGCTGCTGCTTCCTCCACAGAGGGAAGCGGGGACCCCGCCTGGTTTTCACGTCTGCCCCGGCACCTGCTGAGTGCCAGGTCCTGCACGAAGCACGGGGCACACAGCAGAGAGCAGAGTGGACGTGGGTGCCCGCCCGGGGAGCTGACAGTCTTGATGCGGCAGAGACAGCACATCGGCAAGGTAAATGCACCTGGGGGGGCTGCACTGTCCCCGGAAAAAGAGCTGCCAGAGTCCCGACCCCCTGGGCCCCAGAGGGCGACCTTGGGTGGAGAGACACTGTCACAGAAGTATCCACGTTCAATGACGTCAGCAGGGGTGGACTCTGATCCTGGACAGCTGGCACCCCCGGAGGAGGGGAGCCCTGGACAGAGACGGGGGCACAGGCAGCGTGCCACGTGAAGACGGGGCACTGGCGGAGGGGTCTGCACGCCAAGGACCGCGGCCAGACCACCAGAAGCCACGGAAGGCCGAGTGCCAGCTGCCACTGACCACCCTAGTGATGCCTGGACCTGGTCCTACAGGACAGCTGTGCTGCTCCGTGCCGGAGACCAGACGAGACAGGAGGGCCCCCGACTCCGCGTTCCCGGCCACCCGCTGCTGCAATCTGCAGCCCCCTCCAGGAATCTGCCCTGCCCAAGTCCCCATGGCCCCCTCCCGCAGAGCCCAGCACCTGGGTGCCTCCGTCCTGTCCGGCACCACCAAGTCTGTGACGCTGGCGCGGTGGTCAGTGAGTTGCTTGTTGCAGGACATGCTGTGGATGTTGATGATGTAGATGACGGAGTCCTCCGAGCCGACCCACACCTGGCTCTGCTCCACCGCCACCATGCAGGTCTGCAGGCACCGAGAGGACCAGACAGAGCCCGTCGGTGCTCACCCTCGGCGTCCCCGGCCCACCACCCACGTCCGCGAACTCGGGGCCTCCACTCCAAGGGGACAACAGTCAGGCTCCCGCGAGCCTCTGGTCACGTTTCGTCAACCAGTCAACACGCAACCTTGCTTTCTGCGTGCTTCTGCTCAGAGTATTTCACATAACCTGTCGATTCACTAACGTTGAACTTGAGACCGACAGCACGAGAAACCAAGGCTGGACAAAGCCGACCCGACGTGTGTTTTCCCTGAGGCTCGGCCCGGGCGTCCCGCTGCGCGTAAGGAGCGTGGGCCAGCTCCGTGCCGGCCGGCCAAACGCAGACCGCTGGTGGAAAGCGTGGACATGGGACACCCAACCGCAGCGCCGAGGCCGGGAAAGGGCGCGCGTCTGCACTGGAGCTGGAAGGGTCACCGCGTCCACCTGGCTGGGGACATGCATGCTGGGGAGCTCACTTTCCCGCTCTGTGCCCGTGCGTGCCTGGGAAACCATGAGGGCCCAGAGCGTTTTGGGGTTACGGATTTTACCGAGTAATGTGCAGATGCGGGATCTGCACACTTTTTTTTCGCCAGGCTCAGCGCGGCCAGTCCGAGCCGCCAGTTCGCGCGGCCAGGCCGCCAGCGCCCCGAGGTCAGCGGCCCAGGGTCACGTGTAGACTTGAAAGTGGAAATTACGGATGAAACACTGCAGAGTTATGAGAGCCACGTGAACGTGTGAGCACAGCCCCGCCTCCTGCCCGTCCTGGCCGGGCCCCCCGCGTCCCCGAGCACGCTGCCCCGACCGTCCTTCCCTCGGTTCCCGAGCGGTCGCCCAGACGGCTAGTGGGCACCTTCGTTTTGGTTTCGTGATTGCCTTTCCCGTCTTCACCCGTGATGAGTGCAGCATTTTACCGGTAACCGAAACGTCTCACGTTTCAAATACAAAAGCACCTTCCAAAGAGTAGACGTCTCATCGCTCCTTATCTAAGTCAGAAGAAGGACCTTACGCAAATCGAGTTTTAATTTTACCAATAAAGTTACAAAAAGGTGCTAACTTGCTAATTTCAGAATTAACCACTTTCAAAAGCCTTTTGGAGGCATCTACCTGAGAATCGAGATAACTTTAATCAAATATCTTTATTAGCCCAAAAGTATCAAACTCCTTTGAACTTTAAATTTCATAGGAGGCAGGATTTTCTTGAGATAATTATCCCACTTTTTTTCCTGTTGAATGGTACAAAATACCCCTGAAACTAGTAGGAAGATATTTTCAGGTAACAGGGATAACTCACAGCTTTGGCTTAATTGGGGGCAGACTTCTGATTTTATTTTAACTAGGATTTTAAAAGTTATCCTATGCAAAAGTCTCTGAAATACTTGTAACTAAAAATCAACAAAAAAATTTTAGAAGAATGATTTCCTTAATTTTTCTTTGCTTTATTTGATCTAAAGCATTATTAGACTTTTATAAATATTTGGATTTCATGTATCTTGGGTCCCGTTACTTTATCAGAAGCTCATTGTTTGCTATAGGAGGAAATAATTTAGCAACTTCCTGGTATCCGGCTAAAATGTACGGTCTGCCATTCAGCCATTTAAGAATGATCTGCATCATCTCAGCAACGTGTCCTTCAACTCACGGTACGGGTTTCAGTTTTGAAAGCACACACGGCCACAGATCGTCACCTGTCGTCACTGATGGGCCACAGACAGCAAAACTGACACCTAATCCTTTGATCTGTTCACTTCGCTAGAATGTTCTTTTCATGTCAAACATGAAACGAAAAAGTTTCCCATCACAAGAGAAGGGTGTGAGGGTGACCCTTAGAGGCTCCCTGGGGACAGTGGCCTCCTACGCCCTCCGAAGCCCCTGAGGAGTACGGTGGGGTCGTAACAGGTGCCCTGGAGTCACCAAGTTAGAAGGTGGCCAGAAGTCTGGAGAGTCCCAGGAGTGGGTCCCTTCAAGGCCCTGGCCCCTGTGGGTGCCTCGTCAGAGAACAGAACGTAAGAAATGCTCAAAGGCAGGTGCGAGGCCTTGCGGAGCCTCCGGAAGCGGCGCTGAGGGCTGGATGTCTGTGTATTGGGGGTCGCTACAGGCGTCAACCTAACCGGCCTGATTCCGAAGTGGGCCGTGGGCCGTGGCCCCGCACGGGGTGACCGTCCGCCCTCCGCGGCTCTGCGGACTCACCAGCGTGGCCGCGCCCACTTTGAAGCGCTGCTCGTGAACCGTCCAGGACGAGGCGTCGAACACGACCACCCGGCCTTCGCTCAGGGCGCACCACAGCTTGGGGTGCGCGTCTCGGACCTTCTCCGCCGGGTCGAGGTGCCCTGGGCAGAGAAGCAGTGCAGACCGGGTCTCAGAAAACCAGCGCCGGCGGCACGCGGGCCGGGGCTGCCCGGGCACCTGCCGAGCAGACCGCTCCGGTCGGCCGGGGCTGACGGTGAGCGGTCTGGACCCGTTGGACTGCTCGCGCCCCGGCGGCAGCCGGCGAGGAGAAGCCCCCGTACCTGGCGTGTACAGCAAGACGTCCACGGCGCCCGGGGAGGTCTCGCCCGCGGAAGGGTTGATTCTGTGCTTCAGCGTTTCCGCCGTGGTCTTGGGGATGGCCAAGGGCACTGAAATGTGGACACGGTGTCCGTTCGCGGAGCTCGAGGACGCCGACGTCACTCAGCAGCCTCGCACACTCCGCTCGCTCTAGAGCGTCAGTTTGGGGTGAAACTTCGTAGTTTGTGGGGGGGGGGCGCTCTGCGAGCAGACGTGAAAGCCACACGTCCTTCCTCGCGCTGTCTGTCACTGGCGAGGGTGAGCATTTGTCAAGTGACCTGCACACTTGTTTCGACACAGCTCTCACCCGAGTGAGCCTCGCCACCTGACCTCTGTCCACACGCAGCGTCACGCGGCAGCTGCCAACGGGGGACCTAAAACACGCCTCGACGACTTAGCGTTCCCAAGACGGAGCCGAGGGCGTGGACCGGCCCGTGAGCACGGCTTCCGAACCGCGGCCGCGAGCGTTCCGGGCCACAGCTGGGCTGTCCCATGTGCTGTAGGAGGCTTAGCACCCCGCCTCCCCCAGGAG